GCTAGCGCTCACATACCCTACTGCTAAGAACCTTCTCTCTCCCTGCTCACCTGACTACCCCTACTTGGCCATGAAGGCTTCCTCCTCCCTACTCCAAACCCAGCTAACTGCTTTTCTCAGTGCCCCAGGGCATCTGACACCAAATTACATGTTCAGGATCCGACTTCCCCTCCAGGCTACTCAATCCCCCAGTGCAGGGACCTGCTGCCTGCCCCAGCTCCTGGCATGCTGTCCCAAGCACCATAGGTGTTCAGGAACTGTTTCTTAAACCAAACTTCACAACAAAGCAGCCTTGTCTCCTGCCCTAAGCCTGGTGGGAAAGTATTTACGGGTTTGTCAGGATAAAATCACAAATCAGACATAGGCAAGACTCTACAACACAATGGTGGGTGTTCTGAGAACAGGAGGTGGGAGACGTGCCCGACAAGCTGTGTCCATGGGGCCAGACTAAAGGAGGGGACCTGGAGATGGTTTAGGCCAGTAGCTCTTTGCCTGGCCACATAATGGAATCACTGAGGAGCTTAAAAGCAAAACGAAGCAGTGCCAGGGTCCTGCCCTCAGAAATACTGATTTTATTGGTCTGGAGTAGGGCATGGGCATCTGTCAGTCTTACAGGCTCCCCAGGTGGTTCTAACGTGCAGCCTTGGTTGAGAACCTCTAAGCTCACCCACTCTCTGCTCTGTGCGCTCAGAGAAGGCTGACCTCACATTCGGGTCTTATGGGCAGTGCTGGGACTGCAACTGGTGCTTCGGGCCCTTCCCCTCTGCCAGCTGGGGGTTCTCTGCAGCGGGGCTCCTCTCTGGGGCCAGTGTGGCACAGGCTGAGCTGCCCCCCGGGGTGCACCTCAGCAGGGGGAAAGGCCTGTGTGCTTCCTTGACCAAGGACTGTCCTGTGCTCCCTTTACTGCCCAGTGTGTCCTTCTCTCTTTGCCCACAGGGCTGACTGGTGCTTTCCCAGCTCAGCAAACAGGAACGAGTCATTTTCCAACTTTGAATTTGCCAATCCCCCTCTCTCCCACTCCCATTCCTGCTGGATAAGTACGTCCTTTCCTACCTGTTTTTTCAGAGACAACCCAGGTACAGGGACAGCAGCATGTTGAGTGCACAAGCTGTGGGGCTCCAGTGTCAGTGGGGTCTCTGAGGGGGGCACTGGCTAAGTTCCAACAGGTGCATGCTAGCACAACATCCACTCCCCGTTCTCTTGCCAGGCCTCCAGAGGAATCAAGCACGTACTTTGTGAGCACCTGCTGTCTAGCCTGTCCTGCTGTATACACTTACTCAGTCTTTCAAGATAACCCAAACTCACCTTCTCTAGAAAGTTTTTTCTGACTCCGCAGGCTTCCCCAGTGACTGGCAGAAGCAACACACATCCTCTCCAGAAGGACTGAACTTCATTCCAGGCCAACAGAGATTACAGCAAAGCTAGTGATTTGTAACATGCATCCTGACTTTAGATATATTAAAATGTTTTAAAAGGGGAAAAAAAGGAGTCCTGTAGTGGATGAAGCATATAGCTGTCCTTAGCACCTGGAGATCATGGAGAACAGAGGGTCCCCTGGCCCCAGCTTCCTTCCCAGACCAACAGGGAGTATACTCAGGAAGACCCTTTGAGATCAGGAACGAAGAAATTTCTGGTTGACTCCTCCCCTCTCTCAACTGCATCAATTTAGTCCTCCAGATAACTTTTGAGTTCCGACCCTGTAGGGAGGTGTGTGTGCAGGGGGTGCTTGTCCCTGTGCATATCACTAGCACTCCACACATCACCCCGTGTTAGGGGTCTGTCTCTCTCCGGAGTGAGGGCTAAAAGCTGAAAGCTTAAATGTCCATCAGGGGGTGTGGCTGAGAAAAAGTATACTTATATGATGACATATGTAAGCAGTTGAAAGGAATGCATTGCCTTATCAACATAGATAGAGCTTAAAAAATGGTGTAAAAACTAAGTTGCTGAGTAACAAGTACAGGATGATTGCATTTTTTAAAAAGTACACTGAAAACTCACTTTTTTCCAGTGGGTCCGTTTCTATGTATGCAAAACTGTTTTCTATAAATCTGAAAGGCCAGTGCAGAAGAGGTTCACACCTCATTTGACTCTGTTTCATCAGGGGCCAGCATGCAGAGCTGGGCGCAGCATAGGAGGTGCTCCAGAAGTGTGTGCCACATGGAGGCTGCTTGGTCGCAGGGGTGATGGATCTGGAAGTCTCCTGAGGACCTCAAGGGGATTCCTCCTACACCAGCTCCCTCCCCTTCTCCTCCCTCCCCACCCTCTGCTTGTGGCTGCTCTGGGTCTGCCCACTCCCTCCTCATACCCGGATTCAGCCCTGACCCTGTTCTGTTTTCCTGGGGACTGGGTTGTGAGTGACTCACGGGGGCCACCTCCTCCAGCCCTGCCCCACCCTGTTAAAGGACGCACACGCACAAGCGTGTATGTGTTGGGGGAGCTGGCTGCTTCTTAGACACTGGGGTTGGAACAAGAGAAGCAAGTTTACTGGCCATTAGCTAAATAGTCCTACTATGTATGGTCTTGGACTGATCATCTGCTTCCAAATAAGAGGGAATGCTGGGTACTCGTAGGCCTGAGGACTAATTTAATAACGAAAGGACATGGATAAGGGTTCTAGAAAGATGCTTCATCCTGGCCTGCTGGGGAGGCCTGTCAGCTTTCTGGGGGACAAGCCTGTAAGTCCTTGTCCTGGTCAGCTCAGGCTGCTGTAACAGATTACTACATACTGGTTGGTGTGGCTCAAAGCACAGACATTTATTTCTCACAGTTTTGGAGAGGCTGGGAAGTCTAAGATCAAGAGCAGAATCAGTTTTTGGAGAGGGCCCTCTGCCTGGCTTGCTAACAGCTGCTTTCTTGCTGTGTCCTCCCATGGCAGGGGCAGAGAGAGAGAGAAAGAGAGAGAGAGAGAGATTGAGATTTGGTCTCTCTTTCTCTTCTTTGAAGGACACTAATCTGATTACGGAGGCCCCACCTTCATGACCTCACATAAACCTAATTACCTCCCAAGGACCCCACCTCCAAATACCATCACATTGGAGGTTAGTGCTTCACTGTATAAATCTGGGGTGGGAGGGGGACACAAACATTTAGTGTCTATAACAGTGCCATTTACAGAGGAAAGACTTCAAGCACAGGGTGTCTCTGTGTGTTGCAGGCATGTTTTAACACAGACTTCAGTATAAATGACGAATACCAGAGTTTCTGGAAGAAAGCTTTTGACAGAGGCTGGAGAGGCAGTGAAGGGAGGGAGCTGGTGAGAGGAAGGAGGCCCTCTCTATATCATGAGGCCCCAAAGTGCAGGCCTCATTCCTGTGGGCGCACATTCACTCCACACCTTTTAAGGCGCAGATCCTGGCTAGCCTTGGGCAAGTGCTAGGGACCCAGAGCTGAAAAGAGTGCTTGCAGCTGTGCAAGAGACAGATCTAGTCCATGGATAACCGCAAACTTTTACCTGTCCTCCAGGTTTGCACATGCTGTGCTCTGTCTGGGACACTCTGCATTCCCTCTGTCCCGTTCCCCTGGCTGCTCCTACCCGTATGTTAGGTCTGGGTAGGTGAGGCTCCCTAAGAAAGGTTTGCTCTGGTTTCCCAAGTCTGGGTTCTGAGCCTCTAGGGCTCCCAGAATGAGGTGCCTTTCGCCTCTCAAGGCTTGCCACTCCAAGGCTGACAATCTTGTTTTCTTGTTTGTCTTCCCCGTGAGACCTAAGCTTCCTGAGGACAAAACTGTGAACGAATGTATCCCGAGTATGCACTGTGGTCTGCTTCCTGCAGGGAGAGGGTGCAGTCAACGTGTGAGTAAATGACTGCATCATATGCTGTGGCAAATGGCTGGCATCTACCAATGCTGCTTAAGAGTGGTGACTGGAAACCTTGTACTAGGGGTCTGAAATCCAACAGAAAATGCCACTGCAATGACAAACACACCCACACACTTGCAGAGACTAACCACCAGCTATTTCTTGATCCACAGCCGTCAAAGGAACATGCCCAGTTTTACTGGCTTTCTGAGATTTGCAACCTCCAGTGCTGGGTTCTAGCCAGAGAGGGGTAAAGGTCGAGTGTTAGACTGCTCAGTTTGAGTCCTGGCTTCACCACTAAGTAGCTGGGCACCCTGTACAAATAACACAACTTTCTTGTGTCTCAGTTTTCTCACTTCTGAAACAGGAATAAGAGTAGCACTTATTTCATAGGGTTGCCCTGAGCGTCAAATGATACGAGCCTTGTGAAGTCTGATGGATGGGGAAGGCTTAAGTGCTTATTTAAGTGCTGGCTCTCACTGTAGGTCCTCTCACCTCCAGTGGCCCTGCTCTGGTCAGTCTCTAAGCCTCAGCTGGCCATATGTAACATGTGAATGATGATGTTAATAATTAAATGAGAAAGTAAAAACTGCGTTATAATCTGCTGTTTGTGTCATGGGAATTTGTGGGATCGTGCCTTACATTCAGACTCACCAGACTGGGGATTCTAGGACCCGGCCACCCCAAGCCATCTGCTGTGGGCTCGGTGGCAAGGACCACCTCACCATCTCCGCCTGGGGAATTCAGGCCCCAACGCCCAACCCACATCCCCAGAGCCCCTTTTCCCCAAGCGCAGGCGCTGAGGGTTTTTCTGAAAGGCGGGGGAAGCATGCGGAACGCACAGATGCCCCGGGAAGCCCACGGAGGGGCGGAGGGGTGCCCACCGTAGGGGCGGGCTCCGTGCGCCCTTGGGGGCTGCAGTCTGGTTATTCCAGGAAAAAGAAAGAAAAATTGTCGCAGAGGAGGCGGCCACCGGGCTGGGAGCCGGTTATCTCCGGGCCGGCTTCCGGCTCTGGTAACTGCCGGCCGGCTTGCCGGGTGGGGCCGGCGCCCCGAAGTGGCCCAGGTTGCCGGGGCGCTCTGCTCTGCCGCGGGTCCTCCGGCCGCGCCCAGCCCGCGAGGAAGCCCCCGCCCGAGCCCGCCGAGCCCGCCGCCGCGCAAGGTGGGCGACCCGCCCGCGCCCCCGCCCCGCGCCCGGGCTTACTCTGCAGACAGCGGGCTGCGGCCAGGCAGAGGGCGAAGAGTCCTAGGGAGATGCCTCGGGTCTTCCTCCTGCAGCTCGGCAGAGGCCTCATGAGCAAGCCCTGGGTGGCACGGGCTGGGCACCGGCTCCTCGGGAGGCACGGCGCGGGCCGGGCTGTGAGCTCGCAGCGCCGCCGCCGCCCGCCGCCTTCGCTCTCCTCCTCCTCTGGCTCCTGCAGCTTCTCTAGGGCTAATGCAGATGAGCTGGTTGTACTCTGGTTGAGCCAGTTCCCAAGGAGAGAGAGAGAGAGAGAGAGAGAGAGAGAGAAGGGGATGGGGAGGGAGGCAGGGAGAGACAGAATATGAATATGGGAAGGAATGGGAATGCACACACTCGGAGGTAAATAATGGCAAATAATGAGCCGTGTCCTTCCGTTCACACCCAGTTTACTGGTGTTGATTCAAGATTCAGCTGGATGCTGGGTGGCAGGAAGGAGGGAAAGCACTAGCTGTTGCCTGAGGACTGAAAGCAACCATCTAATGGCTTCATAGGCAAAGGGAAGGCTTTTAGGAAAGTGAAATGACGGATGGGGATGAGAGGGGTGGGGGAGGGGACAAGGAGACTCAAACTGCTGTATAAACTGCTCTAGGGGGAACCTCTGGACACTGATGATACCCATCCACCATCCGCCATCCATCCATCCATCCATCCACGAAGTACTCACTGAGCCTGCTTGTTTGCAGAGAACATGGGTAGAATGGAGCTGGGCACTGTGCCAAGTGCTGGGGACACAAGACAGATGTGGGCACCTGGTTAGAAATCCTAGCAAGGGGTGGGGGCTGGAAAACAGAGCAACTGCTGCACAGTGCATATGTGCTATGATGAGGGAGGCTCGGGATGCTACGGGGGCTCAGACAAGAGTAACTAACCCCCAGAAGGGGTGAGGGTGGGGGAGATCAGTGTTGGTCCAAGCTAGTTGTGAAATCCTATTTCACTTTGTCAAAACTGTATTCTCAAAAAGGGAAGTGAAACCGGAGCTGTGGGTGCTTTTTCTGCCCGCGGTGTCTCAGATTCATTCTTAAGGAACTGAGAACTCAATCTTCCAAAATGTCAAGAAGACCATCGTATGCCCCACCTCCCACCCCAGCTCCTGCGACACAAATGCGCAGCACACCAGGGTTTGTGGGATACAATCCATACAGTCATCTTGCCTACAACAACTACAGGCTGGGAGGGAACCCGGCACCAACAGCCGGGTCATAGTAGGAGAATCAACTATTACAGCATCTGGCAAACAACTGGAATTAACCAGAAATGCCTTCAGAGTTAGGTCCTTTTGAATCATAAGCACAGCCATTAGAAAAATTAAAAAAAACAAAAACCGAACAAAAATACCCACATTCTCTAACCTCCCTTGCAGCTAGGGGGTAGCAGTGTGACGGGGTGCAAGCCAATGATATTTAAGGGGAAGTCTTGGGATATTTCAGGACGAGTTTTTGCTTTCCTGATAAAAGGGACAGATAAGGCTGGGATACCCCTCCCCCTTTCTCCCCGCCTTGAAAACTTTCTTTCTGTTTAGATCTGTGGCAACTAACTTGCATCCATGAAATTACATGGATGAAGACAAAAGCCATCATGCTAAGGATGGTGGAGCAGAAAGATAGAAAGACCTAGAACACCACGGTAGTCCAGTATGCTTTCCTATCTTCTTCTGGTTCCTGAGGGGGACTCCTAGCCAATTCCACGTGTTCCTGGAGAAGCTGACAATAGTCATACCCTGCTGACTGCCCTAGGGTGGGCTTGTCACCCAGGCTGACCAGCCAAAGTGTTTGGTTCCAGGATGGGCAGTCAGGGCCATCAGAGTCTTACCTGGAAATGATAGGGGGCCACTGCTGGGATTGCTAAAAACAGGGGATATGAACCTGGTACTGGTGGCATCATTTTACCTGTCCGGTGGAGAGGTCCCTGGATTAAGAGTGAAGCCAAGATGAGACAAATTGAGCTGGGAATTGAGGAAAGAGAGAGAGGCCTAATAGCACTGTTGGAGCTCCGGAATTCTGCACCTTTGGGTTTGCTGGTTATAAGCAAATAAATGCCCTCTTTTGCCTCAGCAAATTTAAGTTGGGCTTTTATGACATAAAATTGAAAATGTCCTAACTAACATAAGTAGTGTTCTTGGCATTGTTCTGTTTTCTTTATTCCATTTTAAGGGCTTCAGGAGTCATTTGCATTTGTTTGTTTATTCATCAAACATTTATTAAATCTGTCCCTGGACTAGGCAGTGTGCTAGGCACCGTTCCAAAGACGAATAACTTATGACCTATAGTTCCAAGACACTCACCAACTAGTGGAGATAGAATGATCCAAACTGAGAAAGGCCTCCAGACGCAGAGGCTCTTCCTGCTGTGTGAATACACTGCTGTTTGCTCACTGCGGCACACCTGGCACCTGGCACATGGTAGGTGCTTAGTAACTATTTGTTAAGTGGATATACGGATGATAAAAACTGAAGTCTGAGAAATATAAGTTAGAGAGAAGGAAGACTCTTATAAAATAAAGACCTGATAAAGGTAGGAGTGACTCAGTGACGCTGTGAGTTCATCTCCTGCCTGTCACCTCCTAACTCTCTGGTCATGGAGAAGTAACATCAACTCTGGATTTCTGAGGGGATTGGACTGTACCAGAAATTGTCAGCCCTGACTGCACATTAGGAAAAAAAAAAACACCACAGTCTGGGCCCCACTCCAGTTCAATTGAATCAGATTTTCTTGGAGTGGAGCTGAGGCATCAGTGTTTTTAGAAAGCTCCCTGAGTGGTTCTAATGTCAGCTGGAGTGGAAAAGCACTGCTCTAGATTGAGGCTCTTTAAGGTCATATGTGATGTCTTTTAGGTCCAAATTGATCAGATCTTTTCTTTAGTGTAGTATTTCATATGTGGGGGGAGATAGTATGAGTCCATCTAAGACATGATTGTATTTACCATTTCATTCATTCATTTATTCATTCAACAAATATATATTTTAAAGTTTTTATTTATTTAATTTTTAGAGATAGGGTCTTATTCTGTACTCCAGGCTGGAGTGTAGTGGTGTCATCATAGCTCACTATAACCTTGAACTTCTGGGCTCAAACGATTTTCTTGGCTCAGCCTCCTGAGTAGCTGGGACTACCGGGCACCTGCCACCACACCTAGCTAATTTTTCTATTTTTTGTAGAGATGAGGTCTTGCTATGTTGTCTAAACTGGTCTGGTCTCATACTCCTGGCCTTAAGCGATCCTGCCACTTCAGCCTCCCAAAGTGCTGGGATTACAGGTGTGAGCCCCTGTGCTTGGCCCTCATTCAACAAATGTTCTTTAAGTGCCTGCAAGATCTCAGGTGTGGCATTAGTGGAGGAAGAGGGGGAAGGATGGGGAGGAGAATCTAGAAAGGGACTAAGGTTTGAAGGGTCTGTACACTGACTCCTGAGGATGCTTCTTTTGCTAAAAGAATGTAACTCAAGATTCACACTGAGTGTGAAATATTGGCCTTTGCAATCTTTGGCAGACACTGTAGCCCTCAGGTATTTGGTAACTTTTCTCACCAGTCAACCACTCTGCAAGAAACAATACCCACCAATGTTTATTTTCTCAAAATCTTACGAGCCATTCTTCACTTCCAAGAGAAGTAAACGGTGTGTGTTTATCGTGACCTAGCTTTATGACAGCAACACAACTCCATGCATTTCTTTTTCTTTTCTTTTTTTAAAAAATTTTAAAAAGCCAGGCAAATTTAGCAGTGGGGGGTTGTATACCAACTTTAGTGACACTAATGTTAATAAGTTTTGATAACCCACTACCATTGGACCAGCCCCCCCCCATGCATTTCTTGTTCTCGAGGACAGTGCTGATTTGGAATATGCTAGTTGTTCCTGTAAGTGCATTTTAATTTGTGAGAGCACATATCCTTGTATTCTGCAAAATTGATCACCGTATTCAGATGGCCTGTAAATTCTTGCTTCTTTCATCTGTCTTGAAAATATGCTTGCTGTTTATTGTGAGATATGTGCTATGGTGACAGGGAGCTGGCTGAACTGGGAGGGGATTGTGTTGAATGCTACAATATGGAAAGCATAGGTATAGTATGGAAGCTTATGCAAACCTTTGTTAAAGTTGGTTCCTTCGAGCTGGGCTTTTGTGGTGCCATATAGTGCCCTAAGACTCTCTAAGGTGAGCTCGTTTGTATTCCCCGTGTCACGCTGGGACCAAAGAGCAGCCAAGCCTACTACGGGAAAGACCCATAAGAGGGAGTCTCTTCCTTCTTTGAACTCTGATGGTCCAAACTACCTATACCACGCAGCCTGTGTTTAGCTTCTATAACCACAAGTTGTGGTGGTTGATGCACTCAAGCCTTCATTCACTTATTAGGCTTATTCTCCTTGTGTCCTGTCCACATAATGGAGAGGTTGGGGAGCACATTGGTTAAGAACTCTGGCTTTGGAGTTAGACCTAGGAAAAACCCAGCTCTACCACTTGTTAGCTATGTGGCCTCAGACAAGCTATTAACATTTCTTTGGCAGTGGATTCCTTATCTCTAAAGTGGGATTCTGATATTACCATTTATTAGTACTGTTATGAAGGTTAGATAAGACACAGATGTGAAGTGGGGTGGTTACATGGTAAAACCTTGATCCCTGTCAATTATTATCACAGTGTCCAGCTCAGTGCCTGCCATAATTGTGCTCAGGCACCATTGGATAAATTCTTCTAGTGTTATTCATGCTTTTTAGTCTTAGCCTCTAAGACTATATAGTTCTGAGGGCAGAGATCATTTCTTTCAATCCTTTTATGGGCTGTCTCTTCTTGCTAGTTATACAGAAGGTACTCAGTAAATACATAGTGGGGCAGTGTGGTGGAATGCCAAAGTCTAACCTGAATTCTGCCTTAGTTGTTCCATTATGGAAATGATTTACTGTCTCTGGGCCTCAGTTTCCTCATTGGTTAAAAATGAGAGGTTAGGTATTAGGTATGTGGTCTAGGGCCAATGTCATGTACTTGATCTGAGAATAAATGTAAAAATTAGAAAAACAAATAAACAGTTTCCCTGAATTGGCTGGCACTGTGAGCTAGTTGGGCA